GAGAGTTTGGTATAGACTGTTGTGGTACAGAGATGTCCTTAGCTCTTGAAAGGTTAGCTACTCCCCGGTGTAACTTCACACACTTAAACCAGTTTGTATTTATGCATGTAAGGGAAATGTGCAACCGTACGATAGGCAACTTGTTATGAAAGTGCTCCTTTCTCTTTTAGACAATCACTGAATGGTCATGAATGCAAAAAACACTTTTGCAAAATGGCCCAAATGACAATGACACACATACATGCGCGTATATCCCCTGTCCTTTTGGCTTTGACAATACTATGAGGCCGGCAGTACCTCAGTTTAATGAATAAATCAAGGGGACGGGAGAGAGTAGCACTTAAACAATTATTGCCCCCTTGTTCCGCTGAGGCTACTACTTAATATTTGATGACTCCTTTCCTTTCTTCTGGCCCTCCTCCTCCTCCTCCTCCTCCTCTGCTGTCTTTACTTTTGCTGTTCCGGTCATTGAAAAGGTCAGCCCTCCTCAGTTGATCTCTGTTATTTAGTGTCAGGACGAACAGGACTCGGCTTCTAAAAAGTGTCACTTTGACAAACAAATTCCAATACTTAAAGCGGGTGTCCTCTTGACTTTGAGTATTTCCCCAAAGATCTCCAGTTTGGATATTGTATTCTTGCACAGATTTACAGTAAAAGCATCAGATTGATCTAAACTCAATCCAGAGGGAGCTTTTCCCTGAGTTTTGTTTGATCAGTAATTGAAACAGAGGAATTAAGAGATTGAAGCAGTAGTAGCCAGAAGGGTTAATAGTAAGTTTGTGACCAGAAGTTCCCAAAGAAAAAATACGATATCTTTCTATCTTTGAGTTTTCTGTTGAAAGGCTTTGACTTTCTTGACCCCTATCTCTCTCTCTCTGTACATCTCTTTCACACGTTCATTTAACACAGACAGAAAATAAAAGGAGATGAGACTACAATGTTATAACAACAAAATTGGGTTGTGTCTACCCTACAATTAGCGAAACTCTCGCGAAAAGTTTGACATTGAACTTGAATGGTTAAAGTTAGGATAGGTGGTCGAAAGCGAAAGTTTTAGCAATTTGTTTCTAGAAAACGAACACACCTGCAGGAGATGAAACAGAACGCATACAACATACAATAAAAATATGTGAAAATATATGCGAAAAAACCCATTAGGCTGACATAAAACTCAATGAAGGCATATCATTAAACTTGAAGCACATCCAACTGAATCATCAATCAACCATTGAGAATTTAGCAACTCGATGGCATGAAAGACAAAATAATTTCTCACCTTGTTAGACCTGGTGATCTGATTCTCAACGCCACAGTATTTTCCACTGCCCTTTAACACACGTGTAGCCTCCAACACATTCAGTATGCGTCATTGCTACCTCAAGGTTAATGACATTACCTCCCATTCAATACTAATGCAGTCACTTTCCTCCTGTGAACTTTACTAAGTACTTCCATCCTCCACCTCGTCACTGACTTCCATCTTATTTGCTAACAACAGTCCTGTAAGACTGCGGCCGTCATGGCAGCTGCCAGGTGTGAATGTGTATATGGATTATTGAATACAAACAAACGTGGATGTGAAGCATTTGCAAAGGCTCTCAAGCTGCTGTCAGATATCGTGATTCCAGTACATTAGCCTGTACTCAAGGTATTTATATTTAATGTCAGTGTCAGGTGTAGGACTTTGAGAATCACATCAAGATGAGAAGATTTGAATCAGCCAATCTATTGATGAGCAGATGAGCCAGGTGAATATATTGCATAAGAGGTGGTGAATGAGACTGTGCAAGTACTTTAACAACTTTGGTCTGCACACACTGCTGCAGGAGACAAATGCACTGCTTCGTTTTGATCTCCCCATTTTCCCCCTGTGAACTTCCCAAATTGGTTTTGTTTAGAGTTCGCTGATGGTTTTATTTGTCCTGTTGCAGCAATCCACAGCAAGAATGTTCTCTCTCACTGTATGTGATTATTTACACGCCAACTCTGTTTGGGGCTTCTTATGCTTTAATGACTGAGGGGAGAAAAGGAGGGGTGTCCAACAGAGACATGGAGAAGCAAAGAGTTAATGGCAAATCATCTTTAGTCGTTTGAGTTGTGTTGAAACACTAGATGGCAGTCTTGTCCTTACATTGTGTGTGTGTGTGTGTGTGTGTTTGTTTTACCTTTCTTGTGGGGACATAAGTCTGACACAGTCACATTGTGGGGACTGGCCTTCCTTTTGAGGACAACATGCAAGTCTCAATATGTAAATCATTACATTTATGTGTGATGACATGATTTAAGGTAAGGTTGGGTTAAGTTTAAGGTTAAGGTTAAGGTGGGTTAGGTCTAAGTTATGGTTAGGGTAAGGGTAACTCCTCAGGAAATGAATGCAAGTCAATGAAATGTCCCCAGAAGTTATGGAAACCCAACTGCGTGTTTATAAGTGTGTGTGTGTGTGTGTTTGTGCATTGATGTCTGACCACCCAATTTGGTCAAGCTCGGTTCTGAAGGACCTCAACTGACACTGTGACAGATAAAGCTCTCTCTCTCTCTCTCACACACACACATTACACTCTAGTCGACTCCCATATTGAGAGTCTGGGGCAGGAGAGTTTGGCTTGGTTTGCCTCAGTGAGAAGTGGTGAGAGCTTGAGTGTAACATTAAACAGATATTATTTCTCTGTCGTACAATCAAAGGATTTAAAGTCTGTCCTCACCAACCTTGACAGATTTCAGCCTTTGCTTCCCTTTGACCTACTCAAAGCTGGATTCAGGGTTCACTGTCATCTCCTTCTTTTCAAAATAAATCCCCCCCCCCCCCCATGGTAGAGCTCGGATTGTATTGATCCTCATTTGGAGCCCGAGACGCTGTCCAGACCCTCAGCTGATTTATTCATCGTGGACTGTGAGCTTAACTTATCGTGCCACACTGGGTTTGTCAATTCTGATCCCACAGATATCTTTAAATGTTTCATTTTAAAGCCTATTTTTTTTGTCTATGAAGCTACAGTTACCACAGTGGCACTGAAACTAAAACGAATACACTTCTTCTTGATTTCTCTCTTCGTCTTCTTCATTTCCCTCTTCTTCTTCTTCTTCTTCTTCTTCTTCTTCATCTTCATCTTCTTCTTCTTCTTTACCCATAAAAAGGCTTTGGGACATTACATCAAAGAATCATATGATAATACAAAAAAAGTCACATAGATATAGGGTTTGAAAAGAGAAATATAATACAAAGTATCCTTCAATAAAACATAGATCAGGAGAATTTAAAGAAAGCTGCTTTCATTGGTCGTATATGATAATTAACTATCTTTAGGCAATTTGACGTCATCATCTTGGCCTTTAGGAATTGGTGACGGGCAAATTGCACCTTGTACTGAAAATATATCAACCAAACGATTAATTGATTAAATATTGAATTGTTTCAGCATTACGTCATACCTACTAACAACCATCATCTCACCATCCCTTCGTATCTGTCCCAGCTTGAAGGGATGAGCATTGAGGTCTATTTGTGTATATATGTGGTATCCAGACATTTGCAGGTCTGCACCACAAGCTGTAGTCTATCTGCACACACACAAACTTATATTTGCTCTTTAAAAGCTATTAAATGAATTTGTAAAGGTGAAAGAAAGTACTCACATCCTTAGCTAATGTATAAGTACCAATATAACAATGTAAAAATACTTCATTATAATTAAAAATCCTACTTAAGTTAAAATACAGGAGTTATCAGCAAAACGTATGTATTGTTTGCTGAAAAATGTCTGCTGTCACTGATCTATTATTACTAACAGTTAGACAAAGTGACACTGAAACCAAAAACTTCCTCTTTCATTCTTTCTTTTCAGTTCTTTAAAATGGCATTACTATATCTTAGATTTCATATACGCTTACATCAATGTACAAGCAGCCCTTTAACCTTGTTGCTGGCTGAAATGGAGCTACTTTATCCACTTTATTTATAGTTAGGTCATTTCGTCCGGTGGTTTCTAACCCAGGGTTCAGTCCCTCCTAAAGGTCACCATATACATTTGAGGGGTCGTGAGATGATTAATGGGAGAAGCAAAGAAGAAAAACAAAGTTCAATTATTTTAAATATTCTCTTATCTTTGCTTTTTTTAAATATAAATAATGGCTGATTTGACCTTTTTTGGGGCCTCAAACTGTTATTTAAATGAAACCATCTGAGAAGTTTAAAGGGGTTAATCACTCTGGGTGTGTTATATATATATATATATATAAATATATATATATATATAAAAATATATATATATATAAATATATATATATAAATATATATAAATATATA